TAAGTACTAGGACATGGAGAATCCTATCACTATGACTCTAATAGAGTAATAAAGATAATTTCCATAACCACAAATAGTAGATGTTCTAGAGGACAACTGTATATCAATATTCTGCACATGGGGCTTTTATGAAGGGAAGTCGCATCTTAGGTGGTTTGTTGAAAACAATGAACTAATAGACTCCAGAATCAGTAGGCATAATGCTGGTTTTATCTGCAAATCACTCTGGAAAAGCATATGCATCAATTAACATGCATATTTCTTACGAAGGATAAGTTTCAATCAGAAATAGCCTATCTAGATGAGAATTTGTGTTGAAACCCATTGTTTCTTGGTGCTCATTAATGGCGAGCCACTAGGCCTTTCTAGAAGCTCAAAAGGCCTTCTATAGCAGAAACCCATGGTTTTGACGCTGTGGGTAATCACCCCAAGATAAGGACCAGATTTTTTATCTCAGGTGCATGCTTAGGTAGTTTGAGACAGTCTCAGGTCCTGTACCAACTTGTCAAAGAGTGAATTTTGGGGGTTGGTGAGGTGGAAGATAAAGCATTCTTAGCATCAACTCAGAGAGTATAAGAAGCCTACCAACTAAGTACCATGGGCTTCTCATGGGCATATGATGTATCCCAAACATTATTTGGATCTCATGCATGAAAAGATTGAGGGGAGAATAAGCTCTTGGAAAATCTGTAACCTGTTCAAAGAAGGTAAGCTTATAAAATTGTTTGGCAAGCCTGATCACCTATATCAGGTATTTTATCTCCAATTCTGAGGAATTAAGAATCTGCAGAGAGATCTTCCATTGAGGGGTTCAAAAATGACTTCCAAAATGCAGGACTGGAGGCATGCTCCCCCACTGGCAGATAGGGGTACGGACATTAGAAACTTAAAGTTGTTAATACATCACTGTAAGAAAACATTGGTGGCACTTCAATGTTGAACATGCCACCCCATGGTGGAAGGTAATAATGGCAAAATATTACTTCAGGGAAGGGGGTGGGCCAACCAATCAAGAAAAGGGAGCGGTCGACTGCCTTACAGAAGGGGAGTAGAAGATTTAAGGGGATACCAATCTTTCGTGCAATGAATTAATAAAGTCTATATGACGGATGAAGAATACACTTCTGATGTACCTGTGGTATGATGAAAGGCCTGTTATGGAACTTTCTCTCTCCTTATATCTAGTTGTTGAAAATATGAAAGCGAAGCTCCAAAACTATATTTTTATCAGCAAGTTGAGAAACTATTATTAAGACAACCATGGAGACAAATGAAATCAATTGTTTCAGGCACAACTTAAACTCAATAGCCTTGTTGATGTTTTAAGTTGCACCATCCTCCCCTAAACTAGTGAAGCAGAAATTAAAATCTGATCATGGGATCTGAAAGGTCTATTTCCCGTTTGCTCCATTTACATTGAGTTGCAGACTCCACTGTGCAGAAGCTTCCTAACATGTTTTAAAAGAGTAAATGTTCTGCACAAGAAAAGCAAAGTGCAATTTGATCTGGTTAGAGATAACAATACAAGTGTTCACGCAACTTCCAAGTAGAGGTGTTAGAGATTATTGTAAACTAAGCAAGATACTCTGGATGCTGTGGCAACGCTAAGGCTAATGGAAAATGGAGGGGGATTTAATTAACATGTTTTTCATCCAGAAGAGATTGCCATGAGATATTGACAGACATTTTCCTCTGATCTTCTTGAAGCTAATCAGGACTCCTCTCAGCTGTAATTTTTCCTTTTTTCAACTTGAACAGAAGTTTATCTTATTGTTTCTTTCTTTAGTGATTTATTCATAGTATTAAGTGTTCTTCCAGTTTTACCAGAGAGTTCATTTTGCTACTATAAGGAGGTTCCAACCATGGTTTCAAATGTCGCGACATTTTGCTAATGTCACCCGAAATATGTCGATGTCGAGGCTCACCGACATGGAAATGGATGGTAATATAAAAATTACATTATTTCGGTCGACATTTCCTATATTTCGGAAATGTTGACCAAATCGATCCAAATAACCAAAAAAGACAATTTTTCCTATTATGTCAATAGGATGCCGACTAATGTACATTAATAATACAATATATTAGTATATTATATTAATATAATACAGTATATTAATATAAATTATTCCATTAATAATTTCTATTTAATATTCAAATAAAATATTTATATAAAAGTGAAAGTGTTCAGCCGAACAGAGAAGAGAAGAGAGAGAAAGAAGGAAGAAGAAGAGGAGAAAGTGTTGAACTGGATAGACTCTTCGTCTAACCTAGTCAACCATATACTTTGCATTTGAAATTATAAGATACAAAAAGACTAAAATGCCTCTGCATGTGAGGAGACATACAGCCAACATAATACATAAAGAGAAAAGACGAAAATACCCTTTTCTAACTAACTCTAACACTCCCCCTCAAGCTGGAGAATATATATCATATAATCCCAACTTGTTACATACGTAGCTCACTCTCCCTAAACTCAACCCTTTTGTGAACAGATCTGCCCATTGATCACCTGTTCTCACATGCTCTGTCTTTATCACACCATTGATGACCTTTTCCCTTACAAAGTGACAATCTATCTCTATGTGTTTAGTTCTCTCATGGAAAACTGGGTTGGATGAGATGTGAATTGCATCCTAATTGTCACAATATAGCTTCATGGGTTTGCTTACTGAGAGCCCGATTTCCTGCAATAGATTCTTCAACCACACTAGTTCACATGCAATGTGTGCCATGGCCCTATATTCTGCTTCTGCACTGCTTCTTGCTACCACCGTCTACTTCTTGCTCTTCCAAGTCCCAAGATTTCCTCCGAGAAAGGTGCAATAACCTGTGGTGGATCTTCTGTCTGATACAGATCCAGCCCAGTCTGCGTTAGTGTATCCAACTATTTCAAGATTACCCCCTAGCTTATACAGTAACCCACGATCCGGAGCCCCTTTCAAGTACCGCACAATCCTAAAAACTGCATCCCAGTGAGGAACCCGAGGACTCTATTGACTTACCATACTGACAACAAATGAGATATCAGGCCTCGTGATAGATAATTCAGTTTTCCCACTAACCTTCTATTCCTTCCAGGATTATCAAACAATTCACCTGTGTCACTTCCCAACTTCACATATGGGGGTTTTAGCTGGTTTAGCACCTAGTAACCCTGTTTCTTCCAACAGATCAAGTACATATTTCCACTGACAGAGGTTTATGCCCTTCTTTGATCTAGCAACTTCTATACCCAGGAAATACTTCAACTTTCCAAGATCTTTTGTCTGAAAGTGATCTTGTAGGAAGGTCTTCAATCTATCAATCCCAACTTTATCACTGCCAGTTATGACTATGTCATCCACATAAACTACCAGTAAGATCTTCCCAACCACAGAGTCATAGCTAAGTACTGAATGATCAACTTGACATTGTCTCATTCCAAACTCCTTCACCATCTAACTAAATTTTCCAAACCAAGCACGGGGAGACTGTTTAAGCCCATAAATTGCTTTCTTGAGCTTACACACCTTACCATCCTCCCCTTGAGCAACAAACCCCGGTGGTTGCTCCATGTACACCTCCTCTAGAAGATCGCCATGAAGAAAGACATTTTTAATATCAAGCTGAAATAGAGGCCAATCATGCATGACAGCTAAGGAAATTAACACACGGACAGAGCCAATCTTTGCAACTGGAGAGAAGGTTTCAACATGGTCTACACCATAAAGTTGAGAATACCCTTTTGCAACTAAGCTGGTTTTCAGGCGTTCCACTCTTCCATCCGGTAGATACTTAACAGCATATACCCATTTACAACCAACAACATGCTTACCGGGAGGGAGAGTGGTGAGTTCCCATGTCTGATTGTGATGAAGAGCAGAGAGTTCCTCTTCCATAGCCTTCTGCCACCCCGGCGATGTAAGAGCCTCCTAAATATCCTTAGGAATGGATACAGAGGACAACAAAGTAATAAACTAGCGATGGGAAGAAAAAAGGTGAGAGACAGAAACATAATTGGATATGGGGTGAAGTGTGCAACTACGTTTACCTTTCCGCAATGCAATAGGAAGGTCAAGATCAGAAGCCAAGTCAGATGCAGAAGAGGCTGGATCTACTGCCGGAGTAGAAGGTGGTGGAGGTGCTGGTCTCTGTCGATGAGTATACACTTGACGAATTGATGGTCGTCCAGGACACTCTTGTAACGGGACCGGGGGAGACTCAGGCACAAGAGGAACCACCGGAATGGAATCGTCAACTGGAAGAGGGAGAGGAACCTCCGTAGGCAAAAGATATGTACCAAGATCAGAGAAGTAAGGCACTGATTCAAAAAATGTAACATCAGGGCAAACAAAGGATTTCCAGGCAATAGAGTTGTAGCATTTATACCCTTTCTAGGTCCTAGAGTAGCCAAGGAAGATACATTTAATGGAGTGAGCATCCAACTTGTCTAAACCAGGACCAAGATTCTAAACAAAGCACACACACCCAAAGATTCTGGGTGTCAAGGGAAATGGAGACAAAGTAGGAAACAAGATACAGAACGGAGAATGACCATCAAGAACGAACGTGGGCATGCGATTAATGAGAAAACAAGCAGTAAGGGTTGCATCACTCCAGAATCGTTTAGGAACATTCATATGATGAAGAAGAGACCGAGCTGTTTCAAGTAGATGTCTATTCTTCCTCTCAGCTACCCCATTTTGCTGAGGAGTGTGGGCACAAGAGGTCTGATGAATTATGTCATGTTGTTCCAGCTATTGCTGAAAGGAAGAAAGAAAATACTCTCTACCATTGTCAGAACGAAGAATTTTAACTGAAACACCAAACTGTGTACGCACTTCAACATGAAATTTTTGGAAAATGGAAAATAATTCACTTCTTTCTTTCATTAAATAAAGCTATGTCATTCTGGAACAGTCATCAACAAAAATTACAAAATATTTGTAACCATTGTACGATTCAATTCTAATTGGACCCCAAACATCCAAATGAACTAACTCAAAAGGACAACATACGACTATCGACTCTAGGACTGAAGGAAACCCGGTGGTGTTTCCCATACTGACACAACTCACACTGCAAAGATGACAGACTACTCAGTGATGGAACAAGAAGCTTGAGAGCTTTAAGAAATGGATGGTCGAGTCTACAATGCCACTAAAGAGGATCCAAGGAGGATTGAAGTGCAACTGTAGAGCCTTCATCGTCAAGATAATACAATTCGCCAGCTTCATGCCCTCCACCAATCTTCTTCCCCATCATTAGATCCTGAAAAACACAAGATGAAGGGTAAAATGTGATAGAACAATTGAGAGATTTGGTTAGTTTGCTAACAGACATAAGATTAAAAGGAAACTTGGGAACATATAAGACAGAAGACAAAGGTAGAGATGCAGTGGTAACATTACCAACACCGTAGATGGGGGAAGTAGATCCATTAACTAGGGTAACACTATTTGATGTAGAGGTTGGAGAAAGACAGGAAAACACACTTGGAGTCCCGGTCATGTGATCAGAGGCTCTAGAGTCAATTATCCAGGGTGGGGGTTTGGATGCTAGGCAAGCTATACCTGAATGAGTAAGGGTGGCAGTGTTTTGATGTGCAGTGGCCTGAAGAGATCTCTCATACTCCTCTCTGGGAATATTCATCATTTCCCTCCCAGAAGTAGTTGTGACTATAGAAGATACTGGATCAACTGGTTGAGTATCATTGACTTCACTATCGCCAACAGCTGCATGATTAGCCCATGTGGATGGTGGGCCATGTAAATCATAACAAAAATTGATTGTCCTTTTCTTCCACAGTGTGTGCACTTCTTTGTTGTGCTCCCCCTTCCTCTGCCACAACCTCCCCCTGAATCATGACCTCCTCCACTGGTACGACCACCCATAGGATTACTACGGCCTCCCTTAACTGTACGACCACCTCCTCTCTACCCATAAGAACCACCTCGAGTACTAACCAATGCTAATCTTTCGGAAGTTGTGTTACTCTCTGAGGGGCTAAGAGATATCCTACGGAGTCAGGCAAACACTTCTTCGAGAGTCGGGAGAGCAGATCCTCCCAATATCTGTGCCCTGACCGGTTCATACTCTGCTTTCAGTCCCACCAAGAACCGCGTAACATCAAGTTGTTCCCTTTGTTGTTGCTGAATTTTAACGTCCGAGGTTAAGGGATGATAGACATTGAGTTCATTCTGAAGATTTTTCATGCTGGCATAATATTCTTCAAGAATCTGATTTCCCTGTTGCAAACTGAAATATTCTTGATAAAGCTGATAAACCCTTGTAGCAAGGTTCAAAGTATCGATATGATACGAGTTTTGGCCGTATCATATCGGCACTTAGAAACGGTCGAAACTCTATTTATTTTTCACTTTTTTTTTCAAAGTTTGTTTTTTTTGGAAAGTTTATAACGTGTTTTTTATTATTAAAAAAATTGGAGGTTCGAAACACCTGGAAACATGTGTTTCGGACCATATCGTTTTCAAAAGATACGATACGATACACCCCATACGGGGCGTATCATATCGATACTTTGAACCATGCCTTGTAGTGTTGTCTTGTCCCAAATAGAGTTTCTTCACATGTTCCCATATATCCTCGCTATATCTAAAAATATAAAGTTAACACTGATTTTTGGCTCCATACTGTCCCACAACCATGTCATGATCTGAGCATCCTCTTGCTCCCAATCACTAAACCCCCGGGACTCAGCACTCGGTTTCTCCTCCTGTACGTGTTTCACTTTCTTCTTGGCCTTCAGAAACACTTCCACCGACTTGGCCCATGGAACATAATTTTCACCGTTGAGTTTGATGGATGTCATTTGTACACTTAAAAAATCAGGAGATATCATCACACTTGAATTCTGGACCACTTGAATCACCCACCGATGCCATATCACTCTACAAAGTTGGTCAAAAAAAAAATTCAGCTACTGCACTACTGTCCTTCTACTTCCACACCAACTAGGAGTGTCAATTGGACTAGATAGGGTCCAATCCGATCCAGTCCAATGTGAATCCATTACAAATGGACCTGGTCCAATCCAGTCCAATGAATATTTTGGACCATTTTGAACCGGTCCAAAGACTGTCCAACCTGTTCAAATTTCTGATAATTTAGATTGGTTTCAACTCAAACTTGGTCCATTGACACCTATGTTCTTATTTTCTATCAATGGACCAGATATTGACTCAATCCAATATAAATTCATTATGGATGGACTAGGTCCAATCCAATATGTCATACCGGTCCGTCCAGTCTGTCCAAATTCAATGTCTTATTGGTCTGTCCAATCCGTCCAAATGGATTTTGATTTGGACGGAGTCCAACCCAAAACCGGTCCATTGACACCCCTAACACCAAGACACTTAAAGTCACCACTCGCTTGCCCTAGCATGTATTCAGCCACTGTGAACACTAATCTGCGCACCGGCAGATTTAAAAACACCTAGAATCCCTCTTGAAACTGCTCATTAGAGGGCAGACCATAACCACTACACCCACTCAACCACCACAGCTGTCACATATAGTGACAGCAGTCCACACACAGACAACCTTGGATTTCTTGTTCACTCAAACTGCTGTAGTTGCTTACTGTCACCAGAACCAGAAATCTGGGTTACTTCACAGTCCTCTAACCCAAATTTCTCACACCATAAAAAAAAAAAGGTTGCTGCAGAACCCTTACTGTCGTGAAACCTTATGTACTGCCGCAGAAATAGAAACCCTATTATCACGAGCTACTAGATGTTGCCACAAAGACTGGGTTCCTTCTTCCCTAACCCAGATTTCTCAAGCCCAGAAAAAAAAAAAAAAACCGAAAATAAAGAAGAAGGAGAAGACAGAAGGTTGCAGTCGGCTTCTAATACTGGTGCTCTGATACCATGAAAGTGTTCAGCCGAACAGAGAAGAGAAGAGAGAAAGAACAAGGAAGAAGAAGAAGATGAGAGAAAGTGTCAAACTGGATAGACTATTCGTCTAACCCAGTCGACCATATACTTTGCATTTGAAATTATAAGATACAAAAAGACTGAAATGCCCCTGCATGTGAGGAGACATACAGCCAACACAATACATAAAGAGAAAAGCCAAAAAATACCCTTTTCTAACTGACTCTAACAAAAAGAATTAACAAAAAATAAAAACAAAAGAATAAATTAATTACTTTATAATATAAAACATAAAATACTTTTCAAGTAATAAAATATTAGCTAGTTAGTATTTTTAAAATATTTATTAAAATCAGAAAATATTTATTAAATTTTATAATAAATCATATTCTAAATTTAATGTAAAAAATCAGAATAAATTTATTAAAGTTTATACTAAATCATAATTTATTATAAATTTAGTATTAAAAATCATAAAAAATTCATTAAGTTTTATAAGAAATCAGAATTTATCATAACCTTAATACTACAAAAAGGAGAATCAGTTTATTAAATTTATAATAAAACATAATGTATTATAACTTTAATATTTAAAAAATCAG